TGTCCAACACGTCCGATATGTGTATTGTTCCATGTGTTGTTGTCCACCAGTACTGTACGATTCGCAATACCTGTGATCTGATAGCCATAATCCCACCACGACATAATGCGTGCATCCTAATGGTGTACAGAGCAGAAAAAACCAAAAGAAATAGAAATAGACAGTATGGTATTCTTTATAGATCTACGTTTAATTTGCAACCTGTAAAGCCCGGATACCAGCATTTTTGATGAACAAAAAGTTTACCCCAGAAACGCGAACGCTCCCTGCAATAGATAATATATTTCGCCTACTGAAAAATGGATAGAAAACCAGTCCTTTTTGCATTCCCGTCGTCAGTTATCACGGTAAGGTTAAAAGAATCACACGTGTGAGGAACGCCGTTAACAGAGAAAGCACTCAGAAACTCTTCTGAGTAGATTCAGTACGTTTTTAAAAAAGTAAATGAGGGGGGCATGATTAACCATCATCTCCGCTTTGATTGATTGAGGGTCTTCGGAATTCTTGCAGATAAACCGGCTATGGTTGGACGAAGAAAAATTGTACCGAATCACGCGCCGCCAGAAAGTAATTTTATTCGTGAAGTGTCCTGAGTAGTTGGACACATGAAAATGAATAGCAAAATTATGAAATCTGAAGCCAGAATATCGTTCGTTACACGTAATCTGAAGTAGGCGAAGATTTGGAACCACATCCATCGAAAAGTTATTGAAATTGGCCAGTGGTTAAATGACTAGGGATTAGAACAGCGGCCCTCGGAATGGGTGTTTGAATCTCGCCACGTATGCATATCTTCTTTACAGCATAAATCTCTCTAATAACTTTTGATCGCAACCTTTCCTGCAAATGAGCCAAAAATTCAATAAAGGAAAATAAAATAAAAATATTATTACAATTAGATAGTGTATGACATGCTTTGTTTCTAGATTGTTATACAGAAAAACGAGAGAGGGCAACGTATCTGGTCAACCATATCAAAAGTGAAGAATGATCATCGAGTGCAAACACAAGAAAACCTACTGGTTTTGTATTCTGTCGAAGCCAGTAATAAGCTGACCGGTAATCGTCCAAAATGTGTCGCTCACCATTACGCCCGGTAGTTTCCAACACAATAGACGGATGCGAATAGGAGGATGAGGTGGCCCAGATGCAATGTTGGTTGAACATTAACAGCAACAAAGCAATCAGGAAAGCCATGAGTGTGGCCACCTAAGTAGGAACCGTAGGTAAATGCAGACTGACTGAGATTATCGAAAAGAACAATAACATACACCTGAGGTTACTCGCAGACAAGTTCCGCATTATAAACTAATGCCAAATAAGCGAAAGTACATCAATCAAAGTTATTTGTTAACGGACGACACTTAGACTGAACAAAACTTGATCTTCTCCAAGTTTATTACACCAGCTATCTTTTTGAACAGAAAGCGACTCGCCACTTAAGTGGATTTTCATAACTACAACAATGGTAGGTAAGGAAAATGCTATTAAACTGTCTCTTTCTACTTAATGCTTTACTTGGGCTACTTTACAGCCGATGGCATCATTTTCAACAAACTGTTCACCGCCGACTGAGATTGGTGGGTTAGCGGCAGTTCAATAAAAAACAGATGACTTCTAAAATTCTATCGATTACTGTATCCTAGATCATTCAGGTAGCAGTTTCTCATGTCGGTAGTTTTGGTTTCTGTATATAAGAAATCAAAATCTTGCGAGAAAACTACATTAAGATTCCTTTAACATCGCAAACTATGGTCTATCGACATTATTATTATTATCGACAACGAACACAGAAAATGACGTCATGAAAGCGATGATATTTCCGACAATATCGAAAGGAATCATAAAAGCGATTACGTGAAATGAAAACCTGGATGAAGATCGCTGCGCAGCAGCAACCACACTGATAAGTGGTTTTAGCCTAGCAAGTTCATTAATTCTAATTGAAAACTTAATTCAGGGGGTAATGGAGAGCCTGAGAGTATCAAATACCCGACCACAGGACAGCAGCTGATCAAAGTTTCACTTTTACCACAATGCATTCAACACGGGGGGAATCAGAAGACTAAAAAATGGTGAAACTGATGAGGAAAATCCTATTTTCTCTAAAAATGGAGACTAATTCCTTCCACTTTTTTTTCTATCTTTTGTAAAATTCAAATTTCCAATTTTTCGCCGCAAAAGAGATTTCTAGCATACCATCAACACGGCTCATCCGCTAATGGCCAGTTATCTCAAAATGTCGAACTTTTGGGACAAATCGCAAGATCAACGGAGAAATGGGTACAGGCCGATGAGTCTGCTCAGTGAATCTCCCTCAAGTTAAGTTTAATACACAACCCTGTTTGAAACTTTGTCTTTGAACTTCTAACCGCTTCGTTCGGACTTCGAGATTGTATTTTTCTGTGTCTCGTTGAGTAGGATTGAATGGGATCTTGTCTTACGGGCACCCGTTTGTACGTTCAACAGCATGGGGAGTAATTACCATTCATTCCATTTAGGTCACAACAAAAACCGCACACAAAACAGACAAGAACATCATACGCGGTGCTTCGTACCTGTGAATTCGAATGGGATTTCACTTTGCCTCTACGCAACGTAGCACAGCCCACCCTCGTCAGCTTCTGGCGAGAGCCAAGCATTCAAGGGTTATGACTCAATTGGGCACATCCAAAACCTCGTCTCCGGGGTTATCAGTTCAATTTTCATTGGTTATATTTCAAGGAGGAATTCGTGTATATAGCAAACGAAGCGTGAACTGAAAAGCTAGGGAGCACTGTACAGCTGTTTTGACTTGGTTGGGTCTCATCAGCAGTGCGAATCCATCCACCAAACTCGGAACATCACAGGCAGAACGCAAGCATGCTACCCACTCGGCCACCGGGCAGCTGACCAGACCGTTTTTCATATTCTATTTACACGATATCTACACGACGAATTCCCCTTGAAATTGAATCAAATCCTCCATTACACACATGAAATAAATTTTATTTGACAAATAAATCGACTCATCTATTCAAAAAACGTGTTCAAACAAGAAACAGTGAAAGTGCAAAAGCAGCATTGTAAAAGTTAGAAATATAAATTACCATTGCATACCTCAGACTTGAAAGGATACGTCGGGTCCGTGACTGATTTGCCTGTTCTGTGTGTTCCCCCGGAACCCGCCGTTCCGACGGACTTTGCTCCAGATTTTTGAGAATCGCCATTTTCAATATTCGCCATGAAGGCACTCAGTATACCGGAAACACCAATACTACCCACAATACACATGATCGGCGCTAGGAC